GCTAAGCATCAAGGCTGCGGTTCAAGGTTGTCTACTCCAAGAGGCAGAAATCTCTGGGCTGTTCTCCATGAACTTTCATTAGACACTGTAATTCCAAATTCACCAACTTATTGGCCCACCTCCAGACGCAAAACTCCTGACTTACTTGATTTCTTTATTACAAAAGGACTAAGAACTGTACCATTTGCCGTCAATACAAGCTCTGATCTTTGTTCTGACCACTCCTCAGTGCACATGGTTCTCTTCGACGCGCCTTCCGAAACACAAAAAAGACCTAGGCTCATAAAAGGCTGCATGGACTGGGACGCATATAGAGACCATTTGAACACCAATCTTTCTGTTCTAGGTTCAATTAAAAATCATGAGGAATTAGAAGAAGCTGTTGAAAAATTCACAAAAAGCATACAAGATGCAGCATGGGCCTCATCAACATCCAGACCACAAAAAGCAGCGAACTTGCCCCATTATCCTATGTACATAAGGGACTTGATCAGAGCAAAGAGAAAAGCACGTAAAGTATGGCAGACTAATAGACTTCCTTCAGACAGACAAACTTTTAACAGATTGAACAACGAACTCAAAAGACATATTCAAAAATTCAAAAGCACAAACTACGACAATTTTATTAACAACCTTTCGACGGACGATGTAAGTTTATGGAGACATACAAGGAATCTTCTAAAGCATCGTGAGGTGTCAGCACCCCTACGAAGAGAGGATGGTTCTTGGGCTGTTTTGGACGAGGAAAGATCTGAACTCTTTGCTAACCACCTTTCCGCTGTTTTCAAACCACATACTGACTTAATTAATACAGAACACGATATTTTTGTACAAATTAACTTAGACATACCGTTACAGCTCACTCTACCACCACCTCCTTTCACACCATCACAAGTTGCACAAGAGATTAGACAATTGCCCAAAAGAAAAACCCCTGGTCATGACTTGATAACGGCTGAGGCGCTCCAGCAAATGCCAAGGAAAGTTCTAGTGTTTCTTACCACAATCTTCAATTGCATTCTCAGGACCACCAAATTTCCTATACAATGGAAATACTCACACATAACCATGATTAAAAAGCCAGACAAAGACACTAACAATCCTTCTTCATATCGACCGATTAGTTTACTTCCAGTATGTTCTAAGTTATTCGAAAAACTATTGTACCCACGACTATTACATATACTAACAGACAGACAGATTATTCCTGACCATCAATTCGGGTTTCGAAAATTACATTCAACAACACAACAATTACACAGGGTAACTGACTACATATCGACAGCACTAGAGCGAAAACTATATGCAACCGGAGTATTTCTGGATGTCGCCCAAGCGTTTGACAAAGTATGGCATCAGGGGCTTCTCTTCAAGCTTAAGACCATATTTCCACGTACTTACTACTTACTTCTCCATTCCTTTCTCTCAGATAAATTTTTCTCCGTCCGACATGGTCAAGGTCTATCCTCAATTCGATCAGTTTTAGCTGGCGTACCTCAGGGATCAATCCTTGCCCCACTACTGTACATCACATACACACACGACATTCCTCAAAGTATCCACACTCTTACAGCAACCTATGCAGACGACACTGCTATCATTACCAGGCACGACAATCCTACAGAAGCATCACTTAACTTACAACATCACTTACAGATTATACTCGATTGGTGTAAACTTTGGAAAACTCAAATAAATTATCAAAAGTCACAGCACATCACATTTACTCTAAGACCAGAAACATGCCCTCCTGTATACTTAGACAATGTACTGATTCCACAAACAGACAGAGTACAATACTTAGGCCTTACGTTCGATAGGAGAATGACATGGGGTCCACATGTGAAGAAAAAACGAATCACATTAAATCTAAGACTAAAATTGTTACATTCACTGTTAAGACGACATTCCAAATTAAAAGCAAGACAGAAAGTATGTATTTACACATATCTTTTAAAACCTCTTTGGACTTACGGACTACAAATATACGGAATTGCAAAACCAACTCACATAAAAAAACTTCAAACTCTTCAGTCTAAGATACTACGACTAATCACTCAAGCACCATGGTACGTAAACAATCACACTTTACACACCGACCTACACGTTCCGACAGTCAACGAACACATACGAACGTACTACAAACGATTTCATAACATGTTAAACGGGCACTCCAACCAGCTGGTAAAAGTAATGGCCACAACTAGTATGTCCGAGAACTCCAGAAGACGACTGAAAAGGGTCTGGATGAGGGATCTGCTGAAATAATGTTTTAATAAATAAAAACCATGGAAGGGCTTCCTTCAGACATGACCAATACAATAGCCGCTGGGTATTGCTATTCCTCATGCCTATCAAGCCTTTTTATTTATTTATTATTATTATTATTTTTTTTTTCTCTCATTACTACGCCAGCACATCTGCTGATTGTCAATCATAATTGACAGGTGCGGATAGATATATGTAATTCCAAAAAAAAAAAAAATAATAATTTTTGTTTGCTTTGTGGATTATATTTATCGATAAAGTAACATTTGATGTCTTAATCTTTTGATAAGTTGCATTTTTTTATTTTCTTATAAATTTGGCATTTGATAACTATATGCTGTGCGAATTTTTCGCACGGGCCTACTAGTATATATATATTTAGGCCAATATTAGGAATCAACTTTATTTGTAGATGTTACAAGAAAAGTAATGTTACATTTGATAAATAATTGTTTGGAAATAATAAACCACTGTGTAATAATATGCAGCGTTTTTATTTTAGTACCTACACCAACATAATAATTCAAGAATGTATATTACAAAATTAATTATTATAATGAACATTGCGCAGCATTATAAAGGAAAACAACTAATTAATACAATAAGTATAGATGATGAAATGAAAAATATAATCTGGATCCCAATATAAAAAGCAAAACGATACAAGGTACTTATATTGATTAGAGACATATTTCCAAGAGAAATAATTTATAATGTAATGTATATTAAAAATTATGCAAACTGAACGAGGCAAAGGTGGTTAGAAAGGAGGGATTCGAACGAAGAAACTGTGGATGCATAATGACGGGTAGGAAAGAGTTCCGTACGGTTGTCACTCCGGATAGGAAGGACTTAAACGCAGTAGTTCCGTGGTTAGGGGGATAGAAGTCAGATGTATGGGACCGAGTAGAACAGGATTGAATGGTAGACTTGAAATTTCATAAGGATGGTATAGATGATGAAAAACCATGAATGGGTGTAGAATGGAGTAACGATTGGATACATTGTTGATTATGAACATCTAATAAACATTATTTAAATAATAAAATTATTGTCAACATGGATAAAATTGTTAACCTCAAAATTAGTATGATTTCTTTTTATATTGTATTATTCAAAGGTAGCTCAACTTGACTTTGAAAAATCACGAATAAATTAAAGCTATTAAATTACTTTGGGAATAAATTTATTTTCCAAGCCACACGGTTTTGCATAAGCGAAAATGGACTTACAAGGAAGGGTTGGCTACTAGTGATCTTCATAGTCACCTATTTCAACCAATTTTGTTTCAGTGATACTATATCGAAAAATATTTGACACATTTCTCAGTGTTCGCTCCTGTTGCCCCTAGCAGCTGAGAAAAAAAATATTTTAAATAATTTTATGTTATTTATTTTTGTCAATTTTTTTTTTCGACGGTAACTAAAGAATTCATAACTTATCAAGATTTTTTTTCGACTTCAACGATAGTACAATCTTGGAAAACTAAATTACTGCTATTCTAACCAATAACTTTTATTCCTTTTTAAACTAAAAATTAATAAAATCTTCTCGAATCTTTTTTATTTTAAATCGTTGATTCACTATAATCGTTGGTTCTAATTTGCTTATGGAGGTCGGTTTTGTACCATTTCGTGTAGCATATTTCTTGTTGGCCATAGGGCCCTAAATTTCTAAAAAGTTTTTTGTCGATCGATGGAGCCGTTCTAAATCAAAATTATCGTTGTCTTCGACAAAATTTCTAAGAGTAGAAGGTTAGACTAGACTAGGTAAAAAAAAATGTATTCAAGATACCAAAATCAATTTCTGGTTTAAAATGGAATAAAATCTAAAAGTTATCGATGTGAGTTGGAAGAACATTAATTCAGCTTTCCGACATTTGTACTAACGTTGAATTTGGAGCAAATCCTGAGACATGAATACTTTAGCTATAGATAAAATTAAAAAAAAATCTAATAAAATCAAGCATTACATTTTGAAATTTATGATTTCTATGAAAATTCATATTTAAGAGTTTCAAAGGACACTAAAAACGAATCTAGCTTGCTTATTCATAACAAAAATTTATTTGGCTTACTTTTCCCTTTAGCTTTTTTGTTTTTGTAATTTATTATACAATAGATCTGATTTAATTTAATAGTCAACATTTTTTTTCTTATTCTGTATACAAAAATAAATAAATAAATCTATTGATATATAATAACCTAAAAACCCGTGTAAAGCAAAGGTAAAAATAAATAACATAAATTTTGTTTGAAACTATATAAAAAAAAATTTTTTCTCGGCTCCTAAGACCCATTGGAAAGACCGCCGGGACATTATTCCAATATTTTTCGATGTATCACCGATAAAAAATTGAAGGTTGAAATTGATGACTCACTATAAGCCTTTTTAGTATTGCAACTGAACCACAAGTCACCGTTATAAAAAACTAAAATAATTTCTTAATACTTATTTTAATTTATTTGTAATTAATAAATAAAATCTAAAGGCATTATTACAAATGTTTATATCAGTTTTTCAAGGTTTCTTATTATATTGAGCATTATTACGAAGCTGAACTGATCACAAAAAAAATTAAAATCAAAAGAATCATGATATTTCAGATTATTATATTTATGTTAGTTTATACGTGGTTCAGGGATAACTGATATCCATCGTTATATATATATATATATATATATATATATATATAATATTAATTTTTTTACTATTTGTATTGCTGATGATTGTTAAATAATATGTGTCTGATAGGGATGTATTTGAATTGTAAAAACTAAATTAAAATTAGTTTTGCAGGATCTTGAAAATGGCTCCTGAAGCCGAAACGTTGAATAAAGAATAAAGGAGATTAAAAAACTGTGTATATTTGGTGACCTTTGGCCTAAAATAAAAAAAAAATATGAGAAAATGGCACCAAACCTGAAGGACGTGGCTAGAAAATTATATATATATATATATATATATATATATATATATATATATATATATATATATCATTGATGATATAATCTTGATATATATATATCAATCAACAAGTAAGTAATTCGTATATATTTCACTTCGGTTTGGTTTTTATTACATCAAGGTTCAAATCGCAAGCATTATAATTAACAATTCAAAACCCAGCAAGTGCAATCATTAAAGTTATATATTAGACAAAATAAAATGTGTTTTTGTTTAATAAAAAATTTTTGGTATAGAGAAAGCAGAAATATTTTTAAAAGGTATTTTTTTTTTTGTATCTCTGATTAAGCGCGAGATTAAGATTTACCAGAAGAGCTCAAAACCAACATCAATTTCTAATAAAATTGTACTTATGGGGTTTTGCAGTGTGGCTGTCATTATGCAATATATATAGCTTTTAAATATTTAAAACATGGTTCTTATGAATTGCAACTAATGAAAAAGGGAATCGCTGAGGACGTACAAACCTTTCTCGATTTGGTCATTGCTATCGAATCGAGCATTAGTCTGACAGTAGACCTTATTCAGCGAATCTTCAACCTTTTGCGTATTCGCTGCCAACATTTTATTCAAGCCAGGATCGAGATATGAAGCTACAAAACTGTTTAAATCCATATCAGCGGTGCTGTTGCGACAAGTTGTTTGCACGCATAGTTCCAATTCCAAACCTGTTTTAATTGTGAGAGTGTCGACGTTCACTTGACACTTACGTGCATAGTTGACAGTATACTCGAAAGAGATGAGATTCGTAAAAGCTCTATAGTAACCGGATCCTTCGCCGAATGGTACTGGAGAATTGAGCTTCGTAAAGTATACGGCATGGATGTCATGCCTGATGAAGTACCTATACTTGATGCTGTTATCATTGAAAGTCTCCATGGTACAGAATCCTAACCTGCGTAATGAGTCCATGCCGATGGCTACGGCTCCTTCGAAGCTGACTAGGTCCAAGTTCCATGCGCCCAAATTCAAAGTAGTTTTGCCTTCTTGGACGGCTCTCAAGTTGTTCAAGGCCAGTTTGCCGTCAACTATTTCATTGATCAAAACTCTTTTCCCTTGAGTCAAAGCCACAATAGATAAAAATAAATAAACAATAAGTGAACCCATTCTCTTGTCGTTGTGGAACTGTATTCACAAAAATCCAACCTCGTATGCTGGTTTTTAATAAATTGATTCGAATATATATATATATCTAAATTGAGACCAATAAATAATCGACTTCCTTTTAGTCAATTGATAAGATATGAGTTAATTTAAAAGGATTCACAATTATGTTATCTTAATGGGATTGTTTATTTATTCAACCATTTTCCTCTTTTACGGCGTTGCCACAAAGAGAATAATGTTTTGTCAGACCACTTGTAGGTAAGTGATAATATTTGAGGGAATAGCTCCACTGATTGTCAAGTTAATTGTAGTTATTTTTGTTGAAAACGCGGACACTAGATTGAAAATCACATCGTTTCACAATCACATCTTTAGGTGAATCTTTGTTATAATAAAGTTTTTTTATAATAAACATCAACTTAATTAATATGAACTTAAAGCTCATCAACTGAGAAAGTTTTTTCTAAAAGTGGGGTAACTGTAGTCAAGTTGAAGGGTGATAAAAAAAAAAATCACAAACAATTTATGACTTTTTTGTAAATAGAACTTAGCTGAGTTTTTCCACTGAAAAGTCCTTTTTAAAGGTTGTTAACTCCACAATGACAAACTCCACTTTTATTTGAAGTAATTATTGTCTAGTTTATTCTGGAGCAATGTTAAATAATTTAAATCAAATATTTTTTTAGTTATCCCTTCTTATTCAACAAAAAACATGACACTTAAAAAAAAAAATCTTAAATTTCCTACTTTTCTGCTGGAAATTAGACAATTGTTTATATGAACTTTTTTTGTAGATCTTGATGTCTACTCTGAACCTTTTAAATATTACCCTATTCTTACAGGTCACCCTGTAAAATGAAAATGTTTATTCTTGTTATCGATTTTCATTCATTATTAATTAAATACTTTATGTTGATAAATTTAATTAATTTTTTTTTCTTTACAATAAGTATTTTTATACTAAATGTTAGGTTTTATATTATAGGATTTCAATAATTGATTTGATATTGATTTTCTTCAATTTTTAATTATTTTTTTTCCATTGAAGCAATTTAATTGTTTTTTCTAATAAATAGATAATATTTAATTGTTGAAATTAAATGCCCACTACGGCCCAATGGTTCCCATTCAAGGAGCTTGTGTCCTGGCCTCGCTCGAAATCAAAGAATTGTTTCCTGAATTCTTTCAAACTGGGTTCTTGCGGATCAAGAAGGAGTCATTTTTTCCTAAGATTCACCGATAGAAAAGTCATAGATTTCTGATAATCCCTATGATTCGAAATTGTGTTTTCTAAATAGTTTTGTTTTATCTAATTTTTTTTTATTTTGTGTAATATAATTTCATCCAGGTGATTCGTACCCACCTTCAAAATAATAAAACCTAATTTCATTTTATTTTAAAAGAATATTAATATTTAATGAAATTTTGGTCAATATAATTAAACTTTAAACTAACTATTTTTTTTTTAAGTAATATATATATATATATATATATATATATATATATATAAACTGTACCACTACAACCCATGAAGGATCTGGGGTTCAGTACTATTTAGGGAAAGCACTGTTTCTAGGCCAACGGTTGTGCAAGGAGGTGATTTGACCGAGATCATGCTCAACCGCCAGGTTTTCCCCCTTAATTAATTATTCATTCAATTAAGGGTACCCACTTTATAGAGGCTGGGTGTGCCCCAGGAGGGACTTTCTGACCCAAGGTCGCCCCACGGCCAATGAAACAGATAAATAAATTTTCTGCCATGAGCCGGGGTTCGAACTCGGGATCTTTGCATTGGAAGCTCAGTGCCCTACCACTGAGCTACCCCGCTCCCTTGTCAAGTTAGATGAATCAAATTATTCAGTGAGGTTCATTAAGTGTTTTGAAAAAAAAAATTGGCTTTAAATAATGAAACATAACGCTATTACATGTGTTTTATCTGTGCTCTAGCAGGTGAATAACGATTTTTTGAGGAAACGGCTCATTAATTTGTTTATTTTCATGGGAGTGATTTGATTACATGTGGAAGTGTTGGATGAGAGGTCACCATTTTTAAATTAAAAACTAATTAAAAATTTTTAATGGGTCGCAATAATTTAACAATAATTGGTACATAATAATTCACATTTCGCCATCTGCAGAGGCCATTTCCTGATATGATAAAACTTTGGATAAATAACGTCGAAATATCGTCTCGTCCAAATGGTTTTTGCGCCAACATCAACAATCCTTTTAATAAATTTAGATGTTTGAAATTTTGTATAAGATTGAGTTGGAGTTGAGAATTGGCTTTTGGTGGTTTCAACTTTTTTCCCCTCACCGCCGCTATTTCTTTCGCTATTACCCCGACTATTTATAGCCAGAGATGGGCAAACACTATTCTGAGTTCTGAGTACCACTAGCGGATCCAGAATTTAATTTTGGAAGGGGGAGCTTCATCCCGAAAGATTTTTTTTTTCATTTATATAAAACGATTATTAATTTTAAAAAAATAAAGAAATTAATTACTTATATGAAATAATGTTTACGTGATTTTATATTTTTTATGTAAATTATAACATGTTTATATTTTACCATTTTGGGAGGGCTTCAGTCCGAATGCTCCCCCTTCTCTCTGTAGATCCGATTGTGCTGAGTACCAAGTATTTTACTCAAATACTGACCTTTTTATGTACAAAAGAATTTAATTACTACTTCAGTTGATGTCAAAGGATTAACTGAAGTAGTGATTGAATTCCCAATAGTGATTCAATTTGAGTAAAATATTTGGTATTCCGTACAAAGCAGTATTTACCCATCTCTGTTTTCAATACACGGTACAGATACCTTTTAATCAAATTATAAACATTTGTTGAAAACTTCATAAATGGCTTCATCTTATCTTAAACTACATTTTTTTTATTTACGGAAAATCTCGGAAATGAGGTGTTTTCAATCAGGAGATCGGTATATTTGAATGTAGAATTTGGAATGTGGTACTAAAAACAGTTGAACATTCATTTGCTTTCCACTTAAATCATAACATCAATAAATCGAGAAAAATGTGGCCTACAAAAATATATGGGGCCGTTTAGCATGACCCTTATCCCCAACATGTCAAAATAACTTGGTTATTATAGGCCAAACGGTCACATATTTCTGTAGGTCACCTTTTTTCCTCATTTTTTTATTAAATTACCTGCCAATTCAACAAATGGAAAACTAATGGGTATTCATAAGTATTTAGTGCCTGATGAAATTAATTAACTTAATGAGAAAAAACTCCATTTCTGTGAATTGTTTGTTGATAACAAACTTGTATTTTACTATAAGATCATTAGAGAATTTTGAATTAATGAATATTGAAACTTTTTATAGCATTCAGGTTCCTTCCAATGAGCTTTAATGGCTCCCTGCAAATACATTCTGGTTCATAAATTTATAAATGGTAATTGGTTATTGAGATACAACGAGGTTATGTAATCATGGGTCCTTGTAATTTGTTCTGTTGAATCTTGATATTAAAAAATATTATATAATCTAGCATATGGTAATAAATTATTAATTCAAATCAAAGTTAATAAATTTATTAATCAAATTCAACAATAAAAAAAAAAAGTCTAAAAGATAAACTAAATAAAATGTCAACAGGTTTGTACAGTTTCTTCACTAATATTCCCCTTTTTAAGTAGTTTCATCTCACATATAGTATCCAACATTGGAGTATTTCTGGTTTCGGGGATAAACATCAACAGAAATGCCCCAAGGAATGCAAGAAAACCACAAATAGTAGTGGGAATCCACCAAACTTTTTTACCCTGAAAAAATAATTTTAATAATAATAGAGTTTTTTTTTTGTTTCAAGTATGATATTTTTCTGAGACATACGTAAACAAAGTTTTCAATTATATACAATAAGTAGAAAGCCCAGGAACTTCTGGAAATGGGAAGTATTTAGATTATGATTAAATATTTAATGTTTAGATTGTCTATTGAATTTATCAAAATGTTTTTGTAGAATATGTCAGTGATTTCAATTATTATATTAAAATCAAATTATTCACACATTTAACCTGTGCACAGACTTGTAGTCTGGGGAGGAGGGATGGAAGGACTGTCATTTATGGCAGTTGGCAGAACTATTTGAGGGAAACCATCAACTGCTTTAGCCAGACTATTTTTAGGCTCTCCAAACTAATGTGTCCTCTGCAGTATGTCATTAAAATCTTGTCTGGTGTTATGTAGCTTGGTGATAGCATTTGACTATGTTCCTCAAGTGTATTGTCTACCACAATTGAAGAGTAGTCTGCATTTTGAATAATTTAATTTTTATTTAATTATTGTTATGTAAGACCTGTTCAAAAAATAAATATCACTTTTGAACCTATGATTGATTTTTAAAGTTCTTCTTGTAACATAACTTATGGCAAAACTAAGTATATTTATGAATTCATAATCAACATAATAACTACAGTATTTAAGCAAAGCAGCAAAGATTTTTTTAAGTGTTTTACTAATTGATTAATGTGGATACTAGTAAAGCCTGAAAGTAAAGTCATAGTGGAAAAAATTGAGTCCCAAACAGTTGCTGTTGAGTGAAAAAGATATTATAAAAATATTGGAATACAGTTAATATAAATAGATATGTAGGTTTGTAAAACTCTACAGTAGGTTATAAATATATAAGGTATTGGTTATTTTCTGATATTCATTACTGGTCAAACAAATTGTTTAATTTTATATCCAAGCAATAGCAGATAATGGTAGTTGCTGTAGACCTCATCAACTTCTTCCTACGCCTGATCCTACTGCAGAATTCTCACTTTCTACTACAGAATACCTTTGAATACTCTCTAGACTAGATAATAAAAAGTTTTATGTCAATTATTGAGCAGTTAATCATGTTTGGAGCATTGGTAGTTTTACATTATCTGAGAGGTAATTGGTACACATCAATCTTATTAACATTACTCATAAAATGTAAATAAGTCTCAATGGATTTTTAGTGGAGCTGTTCAAACTTTTTGGAAAGTGATGTCAATATTTATTACAATACCCCTACAAATTTAATTACAAAATTAAATCTTCTTAAAACTATATTAGATATAAAAACAGATGAAAGGACTTTTAGTAAAGGAATAGAGAATGGTATTAGATATATTAGTTGATTTTATAATCACAAGGAAACAAATCTAAGAACTAAATACAAAGTTAAGGTTATATTTATATACCTACCAATATGTCCACTATATATTGTGCTAGAAGAGGACCCAGCTGTGCCACAGTAACACAGCTACCCATAGCAGTATTGCGATTTTCTGTTGGAAATAGTTCTAGGGTATGAAAAATGACAACACCATTTGCAGCTACTCCTGCAAGTCTTCCAATCATTGTGACACACACCATTGGCCAGCCTATTTCGTTAGTATAAACATTATTTTGAATATTCTCAATAAAAATATATTCTTTTGTTCAGAATGGATTGTTTATTTATTATTCTTCAACTAAGTTCATAAATTAAATCACCATTCCTTTTTTTAGGATAATATTTCATAAAATATGTAAGTAACTGTAGTTGTAGGTTGAATATAGTTGAAACTTCTAATTGGTAACAGTAGTTGTTAAAGTTGACCTATTGCAGGTATCTCTCAGTTAACCACCATTGACAGTTAATGCTATTATAGCAGTTAGCTATGAAAGAAGGTAACTTCTGTCTAAGATTATAACAAAGATACAGTTCAATGGACTTGGTCAAGCCTAAGGAGTAATCTTAAAAGGAAAAGGGCTGAAACAGAGCCTCCTCAAACTCATGAAAATAATTAATTATAATAGCGATCCAATGAAGAACAAAATGAAGGGGTGCAAGTTTAAGTAGTCTTGATCATTATTTAATTCAAAAATTTGGTAGGTCTTATTCGTTCAATAGTATTGGGAGTTTCAGATTTATTCTATTTTGTATCTATATTTAATTTTGTTTTAATACCATTAATAAATAAAGCAGTCAATTGTAAAACATGGTAATAAAAAAAAAAATGAGAACTAATCATGTTAAATTTCTAATTAGCTGACATGTTTTACCTTCTATTAAATTTTGCTAGCTTAAGAACATTAAATTTTTAAATAACAAAAATCCTACACATTTTTTGAGGAAGCTATGAAATTATCGATAAGGAATCTACTCTTGCCAAAACCTTCAATTCACAAAAAAAAATGATAATATGTTTTATGACAGAGTGCATCAGATATAAAATGAGACTCCTAAAGTTGAGGTTATTTTATGGAAGAAATTATTTATCTAAAGTAGTTTTAAAACTTTAAAAAAGTATTTTAAAACAAAATATCATAATAAGAATAAAATATAGGATACATGGTCATAAATGGTTTTTATTGTTTGGCGACATTTTGACAGAATCAGGCCTCGATTCTTTTATGTACAGAGTAAGAAAATCGGACAGAGTACGATGAAGAAAACAGTGGTGAAGAGGAAAATTCTGAATGTTGTGGAGAAACTTGTTTGTATTGAGAAGAAAGATCAGAGATCGAAGTGAGGGAATTCTATACATACAAAAACTAAGCCTTGATGTCGACCCACATAGCTAGGTCAAAACGTTGGAAAACGTTTTAAACACCATTGATGCCTGCATATTCTATGTTTAAGGCTTCAAATTTTAACAATCAACCATCTCTAAATTATTTAAATATTGTTATAAACCAAACACATCAGAAATACGAGCCCTCCTCTCTCCAGCTGTAATACCACTCTTCAAGATACCACTAGACACACACCTCAGTATGACCCATTTAAGCTTTCACTAAAGAATTTTTCACATCTTGCTAAGCTCCTTCTAACACAATAACACAAATAAGTTATTCCATAACACTCTGACTTTTCTTCTTCACTTCCGTTTTCTTAATGAAAGTCTATTCTTTCAACTCATGTAGTGCATACAAGAACTAAGCCATGAAATGATGACCCTTATGAATGGATCAAAACATCAACAAACATAATGAACATCATTTTTCATCCTAATAATTTTAACAGTCAACTGTATCTCTAATCTATAAAATATCATTATAGGATCATGGATATGAGAATAATGGCTGAAATTATTTGTTAAGTTTTGATTTTAATGATAAAAAAAATATGAAAAACATATAAATTAAATTTGAACATGGCTATTTTAAATATCATGATTAGAAAATAAATCCTGATGTGGGAAAATTTTGAAATAATAAATTATAATAAAATGATTTGTGGAAGATTATCAGTTCTCACACTACTTTTTACAAGTATTAATTTTAATCACATTGATTGATCAAAAATGAAATTGACAAGGAGATAAATTTCAACATAAGCTGAAAAATCTTAAGAATTCTGAAAATCAATAATAATATTAGTGCTAAATACTGTGCATTAGCTTCATCAGAAGGCCACTATATTATAATTATTGCAATAATATAAAAAAATTAATTACCCTTGGGTACCACCATTATCAATAACATTGCTATGCCAGAAATAATCAAGAATGCTATCCCGGAACTCTTCCTACCGAAATATGAAAGGAAGAGTAGAGGAAGCAAGATGCCAGGCACTTCTATAATTCCATTCAAGCCCATGTAGATGTATTTATTGACATCAAAGGTTAATCCACTTAAAACTAAGAACAGAAAAATGAAGCATAATCAATTAACTAACAAAACAAACTTAATAATTGAAGAATATCATGATATCAATACTTATTACATTAAAAGTAACTTACGTATTAAATAATAGTACAAGCTTCCTAGAAACCATAAATAATAGCATATCAAAATTCTTTTTGTAAGTTGAAATGATGAGAAAAGTTTTAAGTAACCCTGGACTAAAAAAAATGGATTGCTGTAGAATGGATGAGATCGGCCCTGAAAGAAAAAAAAAATGAAAAATACTTCCATAGTTGGAAAAAAAAAAAGAAAAGTTCAAAATATACTTGAGTAGGTTTATCAGGCTCATTAGAATCTTGGCGGCAAATAGTTCCTATAATATTTACTGCTTTTTCCAGCTTTCCTGATGTTATCAACCACCTCGGTGATTCTGGTAAGAACCTATGATGGAAATATATAATTGGATTAAGAATAATAGATATAATAAATAAAAAAAAATCAAATGATGGGCTTGATCAAGAATGGTTTAGAGCTTGAATATTATTTCTAGGACTTTTGCTATTGTTAATTCTAATAATCATAAATTTAAAAATGAATAAAAAAGATATAATACTTGGTACCAGCAATGGATGACAAGCAAAACCATTGGAGCTGAGAGTGCTAACTGAAGTTGTCTCCAGTTGTAGGTAAAATATGCAGCCAGAGGAAGAAATATAATTCCTAATGTGAAAGAAATATTAAATATATTCCCTGCATAAGCTCGATAGTTCTTCACTGTCAGTTCCAATACTGCAAAATAAAAAGTTAAAAGGATAAAAAAACTAAAGTTAAAATATAATTACAGAATTGTAAAATTGTTATTTTTTTTAATCATTTCTATTTAATTGTAAAACTAAACTTTAGTGATAAGTTTTTGGTACTGTCAAATGGGTGGAGAATGGTCAAAGGGTTAGAATAACTAAAAGTAGGAAAAATGCTAAGTTAGCTCCTAAAACATTCTTAGCCATATTTTTTTTTTCATTTACTGGAGGATTATTTGAGCTCAAATAATTGTACACAACTTTATATTTTAAAATTATTTAATTCAAATACTGCAATACATAAAAAAGATTTAAAAAAAAAGACTATTTGGCTACATTGAGTAATTTTGGTTGTTAGCAAATAAGCTCATGCTATAGACTTCACAATGCCTCAAAAAGAGAATAGAGGTGGCTTAGATTTAATGAAGATGGTTTGAAGATATTCTAACTTTTTATTTTTTTAAATATTATTACTTGTTAGCTTTTTGTTAGTTTTTGTGCACTTTATATCAGAAACAGATCCAGAATTTAATTTTGAAGGGGAAGTTTCAGCCCAAAAGTATGAAATGACGTTTAACTGATTCTTGGAATTAAAAAAAAAAAAAGAAAGAATTAAATTACACGAAAAATAATATTTTTATAGATAATTTTTTAATATTTTTTTCATCAAACATGGTAATATTTAGTAGTGTTGTTTGCATTATAATTTTCAAGTATTTAGATTAGATATCTCACAGTGACCATTCAATTTTGACCATTGAAAAAAATAAAACAATTTTTCCATTTTGGGGTGCTTCAGCCCAAAACCATGCCTTGGTAGACCAACCAGTGGTTTATATTATAGTACACTATTAGAATAAACATAAGTTTTAAGTTTCTTTAAGTGATTCAGCATTTATCTTTCACCTCTCACTCAATATTTTGAGAAAAACATTAAAAAAAAAATAACATTTTTCAGTTCAAACCTTTTTATAAAAAAAATTGACTGAAAAGAATATTCATTTGAAGTATTTTATTAATTTATGTGAAATAATAATAACTTGACCGTTGAACTCAATTAAATCAAAATGACAATCACCTTGAAAAAAAATAACTGAATCTCTTGCTCTGAAAATCATCACAAAGTGTGTAAAAGGTTGAATTATTAATTATTTCCCATTACTTCAAAGAGATTTCCAAATTAATATAATAATTATTTTTATTTCTAATATGTTCTAAATTCCAGAAATATTTCTAGGAAAGAGAAAAAAAAAATGAACATGGATAAGCAGAGGTTCCTTGAGCCTTTGGACCCAGAGCAAGTTGCTCACTTTGATTATAACCTATTCAAAATAAATACTCATCAAGAAATTTTCCCCCTTCCAAAAAAAAAAAACAACAAGTGTCTGCTTTAGACCACATAATAGAAGTGAAAACATCACATCAAAACAGATTAATAATATGAAATATTTATTCTATTTTCATAAAGTTATAATATTTACAATATATACAATAGTAATTGTGTACAAATTATTTTTGTTCTACTTTCACAAAGTAATAACGTTTATATTATATACAATTATAATTGTGCATAAATTACTTAAGTAACTTTACTCTGACTGATAGTCATTTATACCATACTCTAAAAATAATGCAATAAGTTTATGATAACGAATATATGTGATGAATACTTTTGATTGAAATCTATTTGCAAAATACCTACAAAGACTGTTATTTTTTTAAATATAACTCCTATAAAGGGGGTCAGTAATCTATTGAAATTCTAACAATGGACAAAACAAATGGAAGTACATAATTTCTCATTTCTTTTTTTTTTTTGATAATTAAAAAAAATATCTATATTGACTTCCAAAAATTTGTTTATGAATTCTCCATGGTATTTAAATTTTAAGATATTTTATTCCAAATGTTCAACAAAACTCATCATCATTTGGTTGTTGACACTATCATTTTCACTTTTTGTCTCCCCAAAACAGCGTCACATTAAGATACAATTTTGAATAATAACTCCTTAAAAAGAAGATGAAATGCTGAACAATTCCCTTGCATACAGTATGGAGGTCAAATTTTTAATTTCTGAGATATGTTAATCCAAATGCAAAAACATTTCAATTAGTCGACTGGCTGACTTTACCCGAATAATCATTACATATCTGAGTTTGAAAGCTCAGTCTCATTCACTATCCACAAAAAAGTGCAAAGGGCACCTAAAGAAGTTTTTACTTAAAAAAAATATAAATTTTAGTTTGGCAATTTAAAACCTAATATAACTATTAGGATGAAAACTTTATTAAGATAAGATGTCTCAGAGAATTTAACTGGGCAGAGTAGGATGAAAAGTTCTTCAAATTCTAGCATTAAATGATATTTAGTACTCACTAAACTTAAAATAATATTTAAAATTATTTTATAGTAAGATAGCATCAGATGGATTGAGTCATTAAAAAAAAAAAAATAATAATGATAATTCCGTATATCAATTACTTTAATATTTAATAGGTTAATAATTACCTAATATTAAATATTTAAATTAAACTTTTGTTCAAATAATTTATTCAGATTAATTTCTCATTATAATCATTATTAAATAAAAAACATGAAAATTTATGGCTGATAACAAATTTAATTAATAAAATAATTTGTTTACATGCGAACAAATTAAAAAATATTACTTCTGCAAACTTAGATAAAAATTTGTTTACACTAATGCTATAAATCCTTCTTCTAAAATAAATAATACATATCTAAGTAATATTACCAGTATTATAATAATATTTTATATTGTTAAAATAAGATTGTGGCTAGCTTAATATAAATTTTAACTTTATACTATTTACAGATTGTGTAACCAGTATCATAGACTCCAGCACCAGCGACTCCTATCAGCAATCTAAAGGCTATAAACATTGAATAGCTGTTTGCGAAAGCAGAGGAAGGGCCTGACACCATATATAGGACTGATGAGAAAATAAATGTCTTCTTTCTTCCAAACCTAAATAAATTTACTTTTAATTACACCAATTAATACAATCTGTAACTGTTAGGTATTCCAGCTACAGTGAGCAGCAAAAGTTTTCATGCTCTGACTGATTAGAATTTCAATGAAATCCAGAAAATTCAATAAAAACGATTCTTATCAACAATTTTTTTTATTTCAATGTATCAGCATAATATCAATAGACATCTCTTTCGTTAACACAACAAAATTGCCTAAACAACAAAGTACATATATTTTTAATACATTATAAACACCACATTACAATTTTAAAGCAGCAAAAATTTTCGTACAGAATTGTATGAAACATTATTTGTAACATAATTTATTTATTTTTTCTTCAAACTTTTTAAATTAATATTTCAAATGTAACCCCTTGTTTTTTTTTACCATTTTAAGCTGCTTTAGATTTTATTGTACCAACTTTATAGTTAATTAGGACGGTATTTTCATCCATGCTTCTACCAATTTAGTTTTAAGATCTTTCTCCGAGTTTATATTACGATTCCTAAGCTTTGAATCAAGACAAGCCTATTTATGTTCTATGGAATTTAAATCTGGGATCTGAGGAGGAGTTTCAAGCACTTTAAGATAATTATACATCAACTTTTCCCATGTATAGACAGCCTTATGTTTAGGGTCATTGTCTTAATAAAACTTGAATGCCCATTGTTGCTACACTAGCACTTAAATTTTCATTTCATATATTGATATATTTAATTTTGTCCTTTATTCCTTCAATAAAAACCAAATTTCCTAAAATGTAACCTTTTACTGCAGCAGTTATATTTTTTATTTTAAATTCTGTCCCAGGTTTCCATCACACAATTGATTTACTATCCGATCCACAGATATTAACTTTGTTCTCTTCAGCAAAAATAATGTCATTCCAGTAATTTTCAAGTCTTTTAATAAACTCTTATGTGAAATCCAGCCTTTTTATCTTATTATTTAAACATACATAAATCTTTTTCTACTCACTCTGGCTTTAAATTCATATTTCTTTTGCATCCTCCAGATCATTTCAGGCTCGGCTTTCTTTACTGTTTGTTCATTTATTTCTTGTGTTACTTTTGCTGAGGACTTTTGGGATTTTCGGAATTTGTCTTTTATTTCAGTAAATATTTTGGGGCGACAGAATTGACCTTTGTCAACCAATCTTTCTTCTTTTTAATATTGATTAATTATATCCTGTACTGTATTAAAGTTATATTTAAATTGTGTGAACAATTATTATTTCTAAACAATAGTGTTATGAGGAGTGAGCAACAAAGATTGTGTAGCCTTTGTAATTTAAATAAAATAGAGGATGTATACCACTACATCACTGTTTTTCCGATTTTACAGGAACATTGAATCAAATATTTGAAGCAAAAAATCATAAACCGCAATGAACTTATAAATTTAGGATCTTTTTGATTCAGCAATACAGCACATAACACTCTTTAGTTGTATGTAAACAAAATCAAGATTAAGGGTATGCAACAAAAATTATTTCTTTCTTATTTTTTGATAAATTAAAGTTTATTTAAATTATATGTATCAGGTAGTTTTAAGTTGTTTTATATTGTTTTAAATAACAAAAGGCTGTTTAATGTTTCCAAAGCTAATAGTTTTTATTTTATGTTATTATTATTATTTATTTTCATTGTATTTATGTGTTAGGACAACTCCAGGCAGACAGTTCTATACCATTGCCAAAAAAAAAGTTTTGTAATTAAAAAAAAGGAATATGTAAAATTTATATGAAATAAAGCTTTCTTTCTATCTGTCTATCTATCTATCCTGTACTGCAGAAAAGGGTAATCTGGTTTTTATCCTAATATTCTTGAACATATGCATCTATTCTCTGAGAAAAATCACTTTCATTCTCTCTTACAATAAGATATTTCTTTTTGTTCTACACATTACATTAGGATTAATCATACAGCGTTAAAATTTTGACAGAAAGAAATTCATCACAGAGAAGATTCAGAATTGATAATTATATAAACAATAAACACTAGTTTGTTTTTAGAGGAACTGTCGTGTATGAAAACTTTTGTTGGCATTTTATCATAAATTAATTTATGTATAATCTAAAAACAAAGTTTTAGATTTTTTTAAAATTTATCTTCCGCAGTACAAATAATCTAGGAGTTTGTATAAATTAATTTTTGTATAACAGCAAAAAAAAAAGTAGTTCAATGCCTTTTGAATTTCCAAATAATGTTTGTATGAAAACATTTGCTGTTCACTATAACAATTGAACAAGACTAAGAAAGAAAACTGTATTTAATTAAAGACTTTAAGTACATTAGAAAAAAAAATCATCAGATTTTTACAGAATAGAACTAGCTATTTTGCAGTTTCAAATAAGCTATAAATTAATTATAGTCTAATATAAATTAAAGTGTCAGTATGGACAAGTGAGTCAAAATAAAAGTTATAATTTAGCATTTAATATAACTGAAAATATATTGTTCACCTGTCACTGATTAGGCCAAAGAACACAGCCCCTAAAAATTTTCCAACGGCAACAGTGCTTTGAACTGTTGATCTGATTGGTGAATCATCACAAACAAGATCCCACTATAGATAAAAAATTAATCGAAATATATTTTGAAATATAGTAATGTGTATAGATAACTACAATATACTTTTTTAATACAAACCTCACTCACTATTGTCTGATGAACTGTTTCTTCATCATAAATATAACTTTGGCATTTTATAACATCTGGTTTTTGCCTCAGGTTGGTAAAACTAAGAGCATCATCAAAGTCCAAATTTTTCAATAAAGAGTAATTCCAGGCATATTGAACACAACTTTCTTTGTCTGATCTAAATGTTTATCATACTATATCTCATTAAACTAGTTAGATTATAAAAACAAAATATGGTTCAAGATTAAGTAACCTACCCTGGGCTACTAATTTCTCTTATCTGTTCTTTTGTCCAGTTAGCCTCAACTAGCTCTGCAATATTGCAGAAAAAAGAAGGGTTTCCTCCAAGAAACACATATGAAGTTAAATGCGCAGAATTAAAAATAACAGGAGAGGCAGTAAGAAACAATATCCATGTTAACCAAGCATGGTTTTTACATTTTTTTTCTAAAGCATTTTCTAATGCTACTGGATCCATTTTACTGCTGTTGTTTGAAAAGTTGTGTTTATGATTTCCTATCAAAAATAAAATAAACTTTCATAAAAGATATAATTCTATATAGAAACTAAAAGATAAGTATATTATTATATGTAATAGTGAGTTCTACATGTATTAATTCGTTACCACAAATTGTTTTCAAAAATATATCATTGGAATTATTTATGAAAATAATAGAAAACAATTTTAATGTTACTGAAGATTATACATCAATACAAAATAAACTTGTATATATTGAGAGAGCACAATTATGGGCAATGAATAATTATTTTAAATTGAATTATTATTTAAATTAACATCTTTTAAGACTATTTTTAGAATAAGTGGATGCTATTTAAATTATTATTTTATTGCATTACATACTAAAAACTTTATGAAAAAAACAGTAATAACCACTACATATGTTGATGATTTACTGATTATAACAAAAAAAAATATCCATATTTATTTAAGTTTTGAAATTGACTAGATAATATAAATAAGTATTTCAAATTTAATACTGAAGAACCCATATATTTATATATTTTGTCTTCATTTGCAACTGTGCAGTGGCATATCTATAATATTTGATATAAGTGATTAGATTATTTTGATTATTAATTAGTTTTATAGAGAATAAATTAATGGATATTTTAAGGTATTTTACAGACAATTCTTACATTACAAAAAAAAAAAAAAAAAAAAAGGCTAGTATGAAGAAAAGATACATTTAAGAAATACAGTAACCAATTTTAAAATATGTACATTTTTTCCGTTGCATTTCAGATAATGTGATATTATTGTTGATCGTATTGAGATTTTTTATTTATAATAGAAAATAGTACATATATAGCACAAATGTCACAAATATAGTAAAAGAATTATTAAACTTTTTTTAGATTAGTTTTACAATCAATATTAACCAATTGTAACTACAGATATTAATGTTAATTTCAACTATTTATCCTCCAGAAGGTGCCTGGCTGACTAATGTCTTCCACCCATTTTGTATTATTTTAGCTCCCGAGGATTATTTTTTTCCCCTTTTTCCGAGAGGATATTTGTTGTACATTAGGTTTATTTAGTAATGTACTAAAAAATATATAGTTAATAATTCTTCTCTCCTTTTCAGCTCCTACGTTAAGGACCTACGCAATTCCATTCCCCATTGTTCCCACCACCTTTATGCAGACGAATCTCAGATCTACTTATCCTTTTCTCCCCTGAGTTATTGATGGAATCAGCCAACATTCAAGAAGATCTAAATCCAATCAGTGCCTGGGTAAATGTGAACGGATTAAGGTTAAATTCTGCCAAAACTCAGGCCATTGTCATTGGTTCCAAGCTCCTTCTTAGATACCTTACCAACATCCCCATACTACACCTTAATGATCAACCTATCTCCTTCTTCCCCTCTGTTAAAAATTTAGGATTTTTCATTGATAAAATCCTCTCCTGGAATTACCATATTTCTCAAATCTTTCGTCTGACAATTTCTATCCTCAAACTAATCCATCACTTCCGCCATCTCCTACCTCAACATATGCGTAGACTCCTAGTTTCCTCTCTCATCTTTCCCTACTTTGACTACAGCTGTGCAGTGTATGATGGCCTCTTAGTGGAGCTCCGTGATAGACTGAAAAGACTAATTAATAGCAGCATAAGATTTGTAATTGGGGACCCGAGATACTTCCATGTCTCTCACCACTACACTGTGTTAAGTTGGGTCTTCTCCTCTTTCCGAAGAAAATATTTTTCTTTATCAAATCATCAACAATCATCGCCCTTCTTACACCTACAACCTTCTCCAATTTAAGTGCTCAGTTCATTCTCTTTCCACAAGATCTTGACCTTCTGACCTTTTCATCCCTTCTCACAGATTGCCTCATTTCAAAACTCCTTTATTGCTCGATCTATCAACTTCTGGAATTCCATCCCTAATGAAATTTGCCGTTCCCCCTTCATATCCACATTCGAAACCCTCCTATTCCAATTCCTGTCCCCAAAACAGCCAGATATACGCTAACCTTTTGGCATTATACAGATGTTAGTAATGTTCTTTGCTAGGGATTTCCTACTCTTGATGCCAATGAATGCATCTGTTGTTTGTTTTTTACTATTATTATTTTTTTTTATACAATTAAATTTGTATCTGTAGTTACATCAAGAAATGATCATGATGTATTCACATATTATTCATAATTTAAATACTCAAGCATTTTATATTGTCAGATTCGGCTTTCTTTTTTCTTAGTAGAAACACAGAACTTATTTTAAAGAAGCTCTTAATACCTGTAGTCTCATATGCCAACTGTGCGACCATTAATTTTTCAGCCACATAATATGCCCACTGGAGGTTCTAAACTATAATTCAAACAAACAGATAATCTTTAATGATGGTTATAACGTTTTTGGTGTAGTTTGAAGAGTGTTTCATATCTATTTAAATTAATTTACTGGTTAGTAAAGTCTATTTTATTTTACTTTTCTAATGTTTAAATGATGAATATATTAAAAAAAAAAAACTTACCTGTTCTGGACACAATGATTATTTATGCCTCTGACAATACTCTTCCAATAACAACTGGTTGGTTCAGTTTTACACTTTAAAACAACAAGATAACATTTACTTGTATTGATCAAATCAGCAAACTGTTACCAACAAACTTTCTGTTTCATAAATAGGAATGAAAAAGTGAAGCTGATAGTGAACTTATTTGAGACATATTAAGGATAATGAAATGATTAATTATTTTTACACAATATCAAATAATTAAATTATGCTAATTATTGCAAATAAGATGACATTGAATAATTCAAAATAACTTTTTATGGTTAATACACAATGTCAATGTACCCATCAAGGTTATTCTAATTGACGTTGGAATTATATTTAATACACTGACTTAATGCTTTTTTGAAGACTAAAGATAGAAATACTGAATCAAACTTCACTATTCATGATGGAGTTGTGTTTATCTTCTTGTTAAAACTATATAACTATGAAATAAGCCTAAGTTGTATTTGAAAATTTTACAATAAAATGTGATGTATATTTTAAATGTTTCAACACACAACTTACTGGTCGATTCAAGACCTCAACTTTGTCTACCTTACCTTTTAATAATGAAAATACTAAGAAAAATTATTTGCTTACTCAATTATTAATGATCAATAATTACAAAAAATATTTTGCCTAATCCACATGTGATGAACTTTCTGAAGCAGAAAGATCACACCATAAGAATAGCAAATTAATCAAAAAGGATAAACAAGGATTGCCTTGTCTCAGGAATTTTAAATTGGGAAGGGAATTATAAGATTTGGTTTACCAGTTTAATGGTATCCATGAAGAAGCATATGTGTAATATAGAAAGATAGATGCAAACAAAGTTTATTCTTGGACAAGTTGTTTTATGAATAACAAGGATGTACAAATAAACAAAAACTATATCTGGCCAAAAGTACATTAATAAAATTTCAAACAATGTATACAATATCATTAGTAAACATATATTAACAAAGAAAAACTTACAAAAAATATAACTGTAATGAAAAAATAAAACCAAAAGTGAAAATAAAAAAGATGGCAGGCTACCGTAGCTCTATAACCAATCCCTTTGGATCCAATTTGGCTGTGAACTTTCCATCGACTCTCTTATTACCAAGGAAAGTGACAAATTACCACTAGCGGATCCAGGATTTAATTTTGGGGGGGGGGGCTTCAGCCCGGAAGCTTTTTTTTCATATATATAACGATAATTACGTTGGAAAAACAGAAAGATACTAACTACCTATATGAAATGGTGTTTAAGTGATTCTTGAAGCCCTACTAAATGTAATTAAACGAGCAATAATACTTTAAGACATAATATTTTTATATTTTTTACCATAAAACATGGTTACATTTTACCATTTTGGGGGGGGCTTCAGCCCGAAAGCCCCCCCCCGTAAATCTGCCTGTGCAAATTACTGATATCTTTAAAAACCACATCATGATTCCAGATTGCAAGAATTAATTTATTTCCAATAGGATCATCATTTCTATGCGTGGCCAAAATGAGTTCCCTTGACTGGGAGGCCTCAAAAATAAAAAGTCGTACTTTCAGGAAACTGAAATTATATATTTAAAGTATGTATATGCCTGGGATGTTCCAGCAACTTTTTGCTAAAAATTGGTCAACCAGAAGTACTAGTTTGTGTTATGGGTTTTACACATTTTTATCGTTTTCTCTATTTTGTGTATGTGTATCTAAATTTTTGTGAACAGCATTACTCTAAAACAAAAATGATGTTTTTGTGGGATGTTATAGCAACTTTTTTGCTAAAAGCAACTAATTGGAAATAAAAATTTCTTCCTTCGAACTACCTTAAATTTTGATTATTAGAAGTAATTAAAGGTGTCTCACTGTCAGTAGCAATGCAAAATGGATAAATATGAACTGTAGTAGAATTTGTTAATTGACGGAAGAAGAAAATGGGTCAAATATTTTCTTAAAATTCTGGAAATAATAGTAGTTTCTGGAAATAATATAGACATATACTTAATATACCCTTGGAAAACTAAAGATCTTAGCAAAATTAATATCTAACACATAAAATTCTATAAGGTAATGGAGAGATAATGCTATTATTACTATATATTTTTTTTATAGAATGTGAAATAAAAGTTTTCATGAAAACTAAATCGAAAACTTCAAAATTTACTCTCAGCTTGACAAAGCAATGGGAATTGCCATATTTTATTTTAATTGCCATAAGTTTTTTTTTTTTATTTAAGTAGTATTCTTAAGATTTATCAACTTAAAAAAAATTATTTTCTAATGAAATTAGCGTGATAAGTGAATTTTGTGCAATGTAGTACACCAGAGTTTTAATTATTTAAATATGTTGATATAATATTTTTATGGTTTTCTAACTATGATATTTAAATGATTGAATTTCTCTTTTGATAAAAAATAAAAACAATAACAACCAGCAGGTTTCTAGCAAGTGAAAAATCATCATTATTATTCCCCTGACTATCAATAAACCTTAAAGCTGACTACAGAGCTTAAAATCTACTAAAAACACTAATGATAGAAATTAACATTAATGTAACTGTTAATCAAGAGTTCAGCAGGATTTGAAGCATCCGTAATCATATTCTCTAATAGTGATGCTTTATGAGAGAAAAAAAAAATTATAGAAGAGTAACGAGAATACAAAAATAAACAAAGTTAATTTATATGAATTTTTAGCTTAGATTCATTTTATTGATTGTGTCTGGCATTGGAGTATCTCTGGTCTCAGGTAAAAATATCATCAATAGTGAAGCTATGAGAGCAAGCAAACCACACACTGTAGTAGGCAACCACCAAGCCATCTTTCCCTGTAAAATATTATATGTAACTGGTATGTTAGTTATATCTTACGTAAGACATACACCATAAGAATAGCCAATGATAAAGCGGATATCCTAAGTTTATGATACACTTACCAATAATAAGTCCCTTAAAATGATCATTGTAATTTATACAATGGCATGATTTCACTTTGTTATTTAAACAGCATTATTATTTCATTGAGAGTAGGGTTATTAAGTGAATAAATTGTCATGAGTCTATATCTAGAAGTTGGAAACTGGCTCTGGCAGATCATTCTTTATTTTAATACATCAACTGTGAATAGGATGTGCAGATGGTACACACTCCTGGGGTCCACCAGCCTTTTCAGAGTGGGTACTCGATCCTTAAATGTGTTGGGAGGGATGAGGAAACCCTGGTAATTGAGAATGATCCTGGCCAGAGTCATAACTGACATAACTAGCTAGGAGACTAGTAACAAGGAGAATTACTTGTTGAGCCGCCCAGGTTTAAAAATTAAAGAGAGCAGCCATACCATGGGCCCCTATACATGGAGGGCTGCCAGACTATGTGTAGCTACAAGTTACTGTGGCTAGACCAACACAATATGCAACCGACAGGAGTATGCCTATTGCCACTGCCATTCAGTTGTGGACTCCAATGTTTCCAATAAATCTCTAATCACATAGTAAATCAAGTGAAAATGTAGATCTGAGAATATTTGGAAGGTGGGGTGGCTGAGCGGCCCACCGAGTGTGTACAGTACCCCATTGAACGACAATCTGATGGAAGATAATTTGATAAAATAATTATGAGTTCACATGGGAAGGAGGGAGAGGAAGGGGAGCTTTTAAATCTGGTATTAATCCTCTGGCCCAGGAAAACCCCATTAGCCTAAAGGGCGAGGAAGGGGATGACAAAAAAAAAAAAAAAAAAAAACCCTATTAATATATGAAAATACATTTGTGCCCTCAAAAGCAAAAATAATTAATTTATTTGTGTGGCTCTGCAACATATTACAAAGTCTAGATCTCCTCAATAAGCTTCTCTCAGGAGCCTATGTCTAATGCCGCTGCCATCTAGTTGCAAACTCCAAGACTCTTTGCGGCGCCAGCCTCACAGTCAATCCAGCAAAGCCTTGACCTTCTGACGTAATTAAATTATTCTCCTTTCCAATCAAACTCGCATAACCATATTCTCCTCCTAACAAATCTACATAAAATGCCCAATTCAATTTCTTATTTAATTCCTAGTCACCATTTCCTCCAAGGTGCAGACCTAATTGCAACCAGTTTCCAAACTAATGATAGAGAGTGAACACCATCAATGCACTAAGTTTAAAGCTTCTTTTCTCCTGATACTCCACCCTATTTGATTACAGATCCCAATTAAAACTCTAACTTCCTTGATTTCTTCATCCATAGTCAATGGGATCCTTCATGCCTATAGTAGTATGTCTTGATATCTTTACCTCAAATTACAGCCCATTAATCCATAACCTCTCTCTACTACCAATTCTCTCTCACCTTTAACAAAGGACCAGTAAACTAGAACCTCTTCCACAATAACATAGATCTGAGAATATCCTTATAAGGAGGAGGAACTATATGACACTCTAAATTACTACACTGCATTAATCCAGCAAGCAGTTAGAACTGCATCTTCATCTTATTGGGGCAATGAAAATACATCTGTGCCCCCAAAAGTGAAAATACTGACTTAATTACTTTGTTTAGCTGTACAACACGTTACATTGTCTAGGCTTTAACAGTAAGCGACCATCAGGAGTCCTTTCAATGCAACTAACATCCACTTGCAAGGCTCTCTGCATCCCCAGTTATCACAGCGAATCCTACGAAGCTTTGGCCTGCCGATCCTTCTTTGTCCATGGACAATCTCCAAAAGCAGTTTACCTCAGTACTGCAGGGCAAGACTTTGCACTATTGACTGTGAGGCTGGGAATACAAGGAAACTTGCAACTGGATGATAGGAATTGTATTGGAAATTGGATATGGATTTATTAGGAGGACAATATGGTTGTACAATTTTGATTGGAAAGGAGAAGAATTTGATTATGTCAGCAGGCTTCACTAAATTGACTGTGAGGGTGGGTATGCAAGGAGCCTTGGAGTCTGCAATTGAATGAGTAATCAATTGTTTTAAATTATTATGTTGTACTGACTATCTTTTACTGTTATTTTTTAATTTCACTGCTCTATGAATGAAAATACCTAATGCTACTCAAATTAGATTGGAAAGTGAATGTTGTGTGATGCATGTACCACTTTTTTTTCAATTCTTACAATGGTTCATTATTGAAGTTAATAAACCTAAATAAAAAATGTTTTTTCTTTGCTAATGATAGTCAAATTTCAATGTTTATTATTGTTATAATCTTCAAAGCAAATTGTCTTGATTCACCAGCTTACCAATATCCCAGTTTTGAAGCCTCATGAAATAGTTTACTGACTTTATTTATTTTACAAAACAAGAGAGTATGATTCGCTAACCCACATAAAATTGCAAATCTAGCGGTACCCACTTCATGGTATTTGAGCTTTGGTACAAAACAAAGCCTTGGTGAAGTGATATATTTGGGGATTAACAAATGTATTAATACAAAATAACAAGGAAATAAAAGAAGGATTTAAATCATGTTATTAACTTGTAAGGTAACTACCCATTGGACCCAAACATAACACTTCAGTTGAAAGAAATTATTACAGTATTTAGAGCTGAACTGCAAAAAAAAAAACTTTAACTTTGAGTTATGACTATGTTGCAGTAAATGAGCAATGTTTATACAGTAATTTGTTTTTGTATTAATACTCACCAATACATCTACTATATATGGTGCTAGTAATGGACCAAACTGAGCAACAGTAGCACTACAGCCTATAGCAAAGTTGCGGTGTTCAGTTGGAAAGAGCTCTGATGTATAAAGCATAGTAATAGCTGTTGCACCTGCCCCGACAAGCCTTCCGAACAAAGATAGACACATAACTGGCCAGCCTTACAATACAGAAATAATTTTATTATTAAATTAGCTTATATTAAGAATATTATCTCAGTAAAAGATTTAAAATTAATTTACATCAAGTTTTAATGAAGTTCCAACCTTTAAATCACCAAAAAATATCATAAAACGGTTTTTAGACATAAAACACTATTTTAAGAAATCTGGTAAGCACATGACTACTTGAATCATATTATACAGAATTAGTGGAAAGTCTGAGAAAATTGAGCTATTACATAAAGTTTTCGAAGTGTATTTGTGATGGAGGAAACCTTCAAGAATACATTTGTGAATTTCGATCATTTTTATTAATGAAAAAATGAGTTTTGCAATAATAACCAAAGACTAAAAAACTAACATAAACCGTATTTATTATATTGACAGTATTCAATTAAAAACCTCATAAGGAAAGAAACAGTTTCATTTAATCCATTTTGTTTAATTGAAGTATTTATTCAGCATTGAACCATTGATATTTTATAATGTCAATATTTTTTAACTTATATGCATTGTTCATATTTATCATTATATGTAGTATGGTATTTTGTAATATTACTTTCAATTATTTATATATGCAATATATATTGTAATATACACCTCAATTGAAAGTTGTTAAAAATGATTTAATAAATTAATGTAATAGTTAAAAAGTAAGCTAATCTAGTTTCACTAGTTCAGGGAAAAGAGAATGGCTCCTCTGTAGTTTCCCCACAAAGGAAAATCCCAAAGAGGAAAGGAACAAAGGTTTTAGTTTTGGCCAGCAGTTGTTTGGCTGTCATGAAGAGAGGATGGGAGAAGGGATCCTTGCTCCAGTGGGTGAAATCCAGTAATAGTATTACCATCTTGGAAGTTTTTGTTTGACAGAGTCACTAGTTGTTTGGAATTACAAGAGAGAAGATCTCCCAGGAAGCTTGAGTTTAGTTGATGAAAGCGTTACCATTTTGGTAGATGTGTTTGGCAGAACAAAGACATCTGAATTCAATGAAACAAAGGAAGAAACAGTGTATATAGAAAAAAGTTAGCTTGGCAATCCATATTTGACTTTATTTTAAAATCATTAGTGTAGTTAATGTTAGTCTGTCTGTGTGTTTTGATCTTATTGACAAATCTTATTCTATCTCATGTATTGAGTAATCCATACATGAGATAGAATAATTGTAAATTTCAATTTAATATATTAATATTCTTATAATTTTGTTTATTATTTAACAACCTCTTATTTATTTAGGAAGTGTCCTAAAAGTATAAAGTGATCTGCCGAGGTTATATTATTATTTGTAAAATATAAGATGTTACAATATTAAGGAAATTTCAGGTAAACTAATCCTGAGAAAATAGGAGACTATGAAATGATGATATAACAGAAGAGATACATCCACAAATGTACTAAACACATATTAGAAGATAGAATGTGCATTTTTTTTAATTTAAAAAATTTGTAGATTATTATTGTATCAATAATTTACATTGTAGTTTATTGTTATTGAAAATTGTGTTTATTTATATTTAAAATTGAATTAATGTTTTTTATTTGACTTTTATTTTTTTATTAGATTTAATTTTATTAGTAGTTTTTTTTTTTAATAATACAAATGTAAATTAAACAAAAAATTATCAACCACAGCACTGTATCACCCCCTCCCCCTCCAAAAAAAAATGCTTGCATTAAACAATATGATCTATTATTGCCTTATAGAAAATTGTAAATTTCTTTTACTAAAAATGTTTTATGTCTATAACAATGAAGATAAAGTTGTGATCGTGAAAAATTTTGGATCTTAGTTTTCAACAGAAATTAACGTTACACAATCCTCTGAGTCCAGATAATCAGGTATCACAAAATGGTTTGTTTGAGCCACAGTGCCTTTGAATGTGAACACTCAAAATATACGAGTATATGTATAATATGTTGTTTGAAAGGTGAGGGTTTTGGAAAAAATAATATATGTGAATACATGATATGAAGTCTATGACATATGAAGTCATAGAATTTACCAAAGAGAGAGTGATACTGGAACTAATGACTGATTTTTTAAAGTTAATAATGTCTAATTTTACATTATTCAATGGAAACTAAATGTTTTCATGCGACCTAAAAGAAATTTCTGTTGAAACTTTTAAAGATTACTTTAAGATTGACTAAAAAAGTATATTTAATTCATCCAATCAAGGAAATTATTGTTTTAAAAACTATTATATTATACTTATGTGAGAAAAGAAGTGGAAATAAAAATACTTCATGCAGTGCTTCAGATGAGTAAAACATATATTTATAGCATTGAATCACTTCACTAAAGTTTAATAACTTTAGATATGAGTCTGGCCAGAGACAGCAACCAGTCAACATATCTCTGTGTTATTAAGTATTCTATTTTGTTAAAATTGCTTTGATTTCTGCCGTTTTTTTTTTCTTTTTAATATTTTTTATTAAAAGAAATTATAGACATTTCATATTTCCTCTCTACTCATCGAAAAGTAAAAGTATCGAAGTTTTTATACTATTGCGAGCTACGGGACAGCGGTAAACAACTGAGCTCTAGAGGATTAAGCGCAGCTGTTGCTATTACGCATCATAACAACCCGGCTTGTTATTGTAAGTACGATATATTTACTAAATAACAATATGGCACAATGCCCGCTATGCAGCAGCACCATCAGCCGAGAAGAGAAAAATATTTTATGTTGTGTTAAATGCAAACTTTTATTTCACAGCAGGTGCGGTAAACTCAGTGATAAAGAGTTTGAAGCTCAAAAAAAGGATGGATATGCGCTAGTTGCGATCAGCCTAAAAAGATTCCACCAGGTGGTGAAAACCCAGAACAAAGTCACAATACTGAGCCTACACCATCAGAAATTCTGGCAGCAGTAAAGGGGCTAGATATTTTTTTCAACCAGGAATTAAAAAATATTAAAGTAGCGCTAGACAAGTACGGAGATCTGAGCTTCGAAGTAAACACTAGGCTATCTAAAATTGAAAACCACTTAGAGGGACAATCTAAGAAGCTTGAAGAAATAATTTCAGAAAATAAAGCCCTCAAATCTAAAGTCGGTGAACTGGAGGTCAGGCTGAATAAAGCCGAACAGGGCTTGCTTAGTAGATCGCTCGAGATACGGGGCATCCCGGTTCGAGCAGGTGAGACCCCCGCAGCCCTGGTTACAAGTATTGGGGCCGGTCTGGGAATTAAAATCAATGTCGAAGATATAGATACTGTGCTGCGCCGAAGAGCAAGAAAAGATGACCCTCGACCACCGCCTATAATCGCGAAATTCGTCAGGCAGTCAGTGAGAGACGACCTGGTGCAGAAGCGAAAAGTAAAAAGGGACTTCTCGACGCGGGAAATCGGTTGGCAGGAAAATGACTGCCACCGTATTTATCTCAGCGAGGAAATGACCCCGACGAACAGGTACCTCTACTGGCTCGCTCGGCAGAAGAAATCAACAGGGAAAATAAAATATATATGGTTCTCCGGCGGCAGACTGCGGTGTCGAAAGGATGACGGTCATAAGGTTGTCTTTATCGACCAGAGTCAAGACCTAGACGTCTTCGGCTGACTCTTCGATCCCTGTTTACTCCTCAACATCGATAAACAATTTGGCTTAGTTCACAGGACTTACACTGAAAATCTGAAATGTATGTTATGTTACTACCGGAAATTTTTGATTAATTTATTTCTATTGATTATTGCATTCAAAATTTTTTTTCTTTTTAATGGTTTTTTTTCTTATATTTTTATTTTTACATTATTTCATCTAATGTATCATATCCGATCCAGCGTCTGCTCACCAAATTCTGACTTTATTTTCCTCAAGCCTAATCATGTCTAGCATCCTTAATACCTGTCACGTCAACTCCCAATCCCTCCCAGCCCACTATGATGAATTCCTTGAATACTTTACCCATAATTGTTACCATATCATTGCAATTTCCGAAACCTGGCTCAAGCCTTACATCCCTTCCTCATCTGTTTCCCTTCCTAACTACACACTAATCCGCCACGACCGGACGAGCCGGACTGGCGGAGGTGTAGCGTTGTATGTTCACGAATGCATGAAGACCCGAATACTCCACTGCTCTCCTCCATCCGATCACCCACATGTAGAGTTCCTAATCGCTGAAATTTCCTTTGATACATGTCCTATCCTTTATGTCGTAGTGTATAGACCTCCTCTTGTTCCCTTTGATCCATCATTTGAATCATCCCTCTTCAACTTTGTTCCTCTTTATACCAAAATAATCATCTCCGGAGACCTAAACACTAATTTCCTTTCCGATTCCAGCGATAAATCATACCTCGAAAACCTTTTTTTCTCTCTTCATCTTTTCATTGTTCCTTTTTCGCCCACTCATCACACCCCCAGGTCCGATACCTGGTTGGACCATTACATTATCGACTCCGCTCAGAACCTCCTTTCCTCCTCACAAGTACCGGTCTCCTTTTTATCCTCTCATGACCTAATTCAAATTTCATATAATATCCATACTCCTCCGATCCTACCTAGAACCATAACTTTCCGTAATATTGATGTCCTCACTCGTGAAAAAATCTTACCCTACCTGGAAACCCTTGATTGGAATGGAATATATTCCTGTTCATGTATTGACGCTATGGTTGATATTTTAACTTCCAACCTCCGTAATATCCTTGATTCCCATGCTCCCATCAAAACCTCTACCTTTCGTCGCCCCCCTGCTCCCTGGATGTGTCAGCAAATTAAAGATCTTCAGAAGAGACGCGATGCAGCCCGCAGACGCTTTAGACGCACTAGACTCGCTGACGACTACCAAGCGTTTAGGGTGCTCCGTAACCTGACACAAACCAATATCCGAAGAGCCAAATCCTCCTATTTCCACGAAGCCCTTTCAGCAGCTCCTGATTCCAAAACCAAATGGCAACTCCTTCGTAAACTCTCCCTCTGTGACTCTTCCAGATCACCTTCCTCAGCAGCCTTTCCAGTCAAACCTGATGATTTAAATTCATATTTTA